CACTGAAGGGGGGGGGCTGAGACACACTTAATATTATCAGTGTTCTGATGACATTTTAGTGAAAGGAGGTTTATCAAAAACATAATTAATGTGCGCAAATAATGAATACCGGTAGTTGTATTAACTATACATGTAAACAGAGTTTTATGGGGCCCCCAGGAACTTGGGGCCCTAGGCAGCTGCCTACTATTGCCAAATGGTAAATCCCCCCTTGTGAAGAAGCATTATTTTTCCGGTTACAAATCTTTCAATAAGAAATGCTCCGTCCACTTCCAGTTGTTAGATATATATATATATATACTGTATATATATATATATATATATATATATATACAGTATATATATATATATATATTTGCACGGAGGGTACCATCCCAAATCATCACCCTGACGCTGTACAGTAGCCGAAAGGAAAGAGGCCGAGGACTAGTGAGAGTGAGAGCCCCGATCCAGGATATAAAAATACAAGATCCATCAGTACATCAAGGACAAGGCTCCATCAGACGATCTGCTCAGTAATGTTCTCAGACAATGAGGAACAGAAGATGAGGTGCTGGAGGTTCCTTCATAAGAGCATAAGGCCCCACACGGGATGTACCAGCAAAACATAACCCAGGTGGCGGATATCAGGAAATCCAACCAATAGTTGGTCTCAGGGACCTCTTTGCTACAAATGTTATTCTATACAAGAAAGCTACAATTATTACTGAAGAGGATTAGGGCCACTGAAAAAAAAAAAAGGCTAACTGATTTTTACATTTTATTTCAGTTTAGTATGAGAAAAAAGTCAGAATTCTGACTTTATTCTCAGAATTGTGAATCTTAATGTAGATGGGCCCCATAAAGGAAGAGATGTGAGCACTCAGCTTCACTGACAAAGATGGGAGTTGTTTGAGGGGGTCAGTGACACATTGGTGGAAAATGACGGAATTAGGCAACGTTTTACGTGTGCGATGGGTCCCCTCATTAATGGAGGAGCAGAAGGTCATTAAAACAAGAGAGCTAGTCTCTAAAACAGACATGGCTATGGAAAAAGTCAGAATTCTGAGATTAAAGTCAGAATTCTGACTTTTTTCCCATATTAAACTGAAATAAAAATTAAAAATCTGTTACCTTTTTTTTTCCCACTGGCCCTAATCCGTAATAAGTAAATTATTGATGAAACACTACCAAAAAAAATATTTTAAAAAGTGCTATAAGTATAAATATTCTTGGTGTCATAGATTTTATTGCTGTTTCCTTTTACTAAAAGCGGTTAAATGCATAATTTACCATCTTGAAAAAGATCTATGTTGAATAATGATCATGTTTTTCGCCAGACTCTTTTATTCTGCTTATTATCTTTCACCAGATTTACCTCTTTTTTATTTGCCCTCCATCCGTCCTCCTCCGGACTCAGAGCTGTTTTTGATCAGCTGCTCATCTCTTTGTCAAATCATAAAACTAATATTTATTCTTTTGGTAAAGACACTTTTTTTTTTACCAATTCTAAAAATGTTTTCACTCAACTAAATTTTCTAACGATTAGACAATAAGCTTTGATTAAACCATTTTCTAAGCAAAATCTACTGCATGATCTGCAATTAGCCTAACAGCTATCTTTGTAAATGGACCAGTGGGTTCTATTTAATCGCACTTTATGCAGATAATCTTTATTTGTTAAAGACTTAAAATGCTAGAACATAAAGGAGAATTAAAAATACATTTATTGCTACATATTCATATCATCTCACGCCTGGACCTCAAATTGTACACATATTTTACATTTTATGGTGAGAATGTTTGAGATTATTTTGGCGTTTCTTTATAATCACCTTTTAAATAAAGACCAAGCATCACCTCTTTAGTAACACTGTATTGCTCAGATCATTAAATGTAAGTACATCTATAAACTGCACAAAACAGTCTTCATGATTAAAATAACAATTAAAAGCACATTATTAGGTTCACAATTTGTATAAAAGATAACTTATAACTTAAAAAAAAGATAATTTTCAATTAAAAACTTAAACATGCACAGAGTTTGCTTGACGACATCCGAGGAGCGATAATTACAAGAAGATGGCGGATTATCTCCACCGTCCACGCAGGAAATTAGATTTTTGTTGCAGTGCATTGAAGAAACATTGAACACCTTTACAGACCAGGTTTGATCCCCATGTTTGATTAAAAAGAACATTCCTTGAGATCTGTTCATTCACAGAATGTTCAAACCCCTGCAGTATTTACACACTCACTCCCACACATAGAGCCCACAATAAAAAAAACACAGAAATATGAGAAAGTCTGTCCACTGAGCTTTGTGATATATATTGAAACGCTGAAAATATAACCAGCAAACCTTTTTTTTCCCCCATTTTAAACAGCACATGAAGCTCTACGTTATCAGATCCGTCCGTTCTGATGTATTGCAACAGAAATATTACCAATCAATCTAAAAAATATGTACAAAACATCTGCAGCTTACAATGCATTTGTCTGATACAAATCATATTTAGGCACAACGTTATAAAAAATCCATTTGGGAAGAGAAGGAATGATTGTCCAATAGCATCACGCTTTCCGGTCTGGGAGCCTGAGCTGCTCCGGATGAATTTACTGGAAACACTGGACACCTGACAGGAGCTGCATCCTCCTGGATCTAGACATCAGAGACACAGCAGGGTTAAAAAAATCATTTAACAACATTTGAAAAAGTTGATTCACTGCAGGCATTGGATCAAATACAGTGTCTTGTAAAAACGTTCATTCTCTTTGAGCTCTTTCCACACAGCAACCAACCTGATTGCATGTTACCAACATTTTGTATGACTGAGCAACAGAAAGTAGTACATTTTTTTAGGATGGATTTATAGCCTCTTAACACCCACCTTGACTATTTTGCATACCCAAATGGAAAAGGAAATAATGAGGAACTGTAAGCCCAAATTGCATGCGTGATTCATCATTTGAAAGCTAACACCTTCTAGGTTCTGGAAATATAAATATAAAATTAGGTGAGTTAAACACAGCTAAGCTGCATCCGCTCAAAGTTGTTTTTTATTCTCGAAAATACTGCTTCAACAGCAGTAATAAAGACATGCTTGAGAATAGGCGTGTCTAATTGTATTAAATTTGTTCTACATCATGTCAACCACAAATGCAGAAAATTTCAGTTGCAGCTCCAACAGTTCCAGAGCTGTGGGGCTTTGAACTGTAGGCGTCACCAGCGTCTCCAAATCTCTCCAGATGGATTTGCTCCACATATCCATCTGGAAACCTTCCGTTGAAGTAATTTTGGGAAGGGGCGAAAATACTGGTTAGCTGATTGGCCTATGTTGGTGATAGACGGGCCAAATAAACCAATCAGATCAACGAAGCATACGACGTACTAACAGAACAACTACGAAGAGGAGCCAATTGATAGATCAAACTCTTGCCGAAACCAGTCGGGAGAAGAGCAAAAACA